TAGGAAGTGAAGATTATGAGAATAAGGGATCCCTCTTACCTAGAACTTGAAAAGGTTAGCATCTGTGTCAGCGTTTGTTTCATAGAGTAATAGTTCTTGGTAGGAGGAAGCTGTCTGAGTGAAACTTTCATGTTACATTTGGAATATGGAGGAAATGAGATTGATTCAACACCATAGACATTATAATTTATCTCGGATAATTGATTACTGAAGAAAATGAAAGGGTCTTTAGGAAAATCTTTGCAAATATTGTTTTTTTTTTCACCACAAGCAAGGGAATAAAGCTACTAAGGTGCAAGGAGTTACTGATAAGAAGAAACAAAGAGGGACACTATAAGAACAGGATTCAAGGAGTGAGAGAAAGAGAGATTGATAAAATTGGCATTGAATTTAAATTTTTAAAGATTGTAGTTGACAGGAAATCAAGAAGTGCAAGAGAAGAAACAATAAGCATAGAACTTATGATTATAACTAGCAGTTTCAACAGCAAAATTATGAGACCTAGTTGCCAATCTAGTACTGCACTTAAAGTCATGAAATTGAGATAGAACACTCATCGGAAAAACTACCATGAAAATATTAATAGAAGAGGCAAAGAAAAGCAGTGTTATGGTAGTGGGAAACTGACTGATCCCAAGATGACAGGTCAGAACCAATAAGATTCCTGATTCTTTAAATTTTGTCAAGAATTTCCAGAAGCACCAGACCCAATGTGGCAGCAATATTTGATACACAGATAAACAGTACACTTATAAATGTGCATGATAGATTCTGACAAAAAATTGTCTAGCACAACATAGTAAACCAAAATTCCTTGCAGGAGACTTAGCAATTGATTCGATAGAATCATTAAACTTCATGTCAGTGAGAAATGAGAGACCAAGAAGGTGCAGTGAATTGTGCTCATGGTGGATAGCATCAGCCATGCTGATAGAAGTCAAAAAAGCTTCTTTAAGAAGATTATTAAAGAGGAGTTTTATTGTAGAGACATTAAAATTAACAAGGCACTTCTTGCCCTAGTTTACAACTGATTGAAGGTTATTTTTGAAATCATCTGCTAAATTGATTTTAGCGAATCTATCAGGCTTACTCTCTAGATAAAGTCTAAATAGTTGTGACATCCACATAGATACTGAATTTGGAAATAATGACATCAGGAAGTTTGTTGAAAAATATAAGGAACAAAGTGGGTACAAGAATAAAGCCCTAGAGGACACCTGTATTAATGCAAAATGGTGGCTATTGAAGACAACTTTTATTATGCAATTTGAAAGATTGACTTAAATCAAAGAAACACCATTACCTTTCAACTTGTGAAGACCATCATGCCAAACCCTGTCAAATCTCTTTGAAATATCTAAAGCAACAGCTTGAGATTCATCATTCTTATATAAAGCTTGATAGACTCTTTCAGCAAAAACTGTCAATACATCAGCGGTTGATCAAGAGAAGCAAAAGCCATATTGTTTGTCTGAAAGAAAACCCTGAGAGGTGAGATGCTTAACATTGATTCAATTCCCTAGAATTTTTGCTAAAGAGAGGTAGAAGGTAAGAGGTTGATTGATAGATTAGATGGTTCTCCAGAGTTCTTAAAAACAGGAACGACGAAAGAGGATTTCCAGCAATCTGGAATGCAAAGCATCTTTTATAGAACTTGGAGAGAATAGGAGTCATTTCCTAAGGACAATTGCAGGGATACTATCAAGTATGTAAGCCTTGGGGGGGGGTCAAGTTTGAAGATCATAGAGGAAATCATGATCAGTATTATATGCATATTATACAGTAGAGACTCAGTTCCTTAGTGAAAAGTCAATCAAATGGATTCTTGTTGAGCTAAGAGTAGAAAAATTTTATATGAAATAAAAATTCATCTCCACTCTTCAACTTCTTGTGCAACTAGGTAACTTATTCTTAAAGTCAGACACAGACTTACTGGTCCTGGATTTTAATATTTATTATTAATACAATATTACTTCTTACTTAATTGCATAATCATAATTTGGTGTAGTTAAACTTCATTAAAAATAAGTAGCAAAAATTATTTTTAATAAAAATCAATTTAAATAAAGATTTTAAAAAATTAAATTTGTACATAAGCAAACCTCTTTTTACATGTGATCAGTTTTCTAAATGAGAATTTAACATTTTTAAATAGTATGATGCAACAACAGAAAAATGTTATTTAACACTCTGTTTCCACCCCCACCATATTTGAATCTAATTAGGTTATATCAATATAACAGTGACATCAATTTTATATATAAAAAGCGATAAGATTGTTTCAAAGAACTTATCATCACAAACTACATTAGCATCATTTATTTCTAATACTGAACAAAAGAAAGAAAAATCAATGAACACCATTCACAAAACTTTGAGTAACAAGGCATATACAATATGCTTCCAAACAGCCATAGTTGCAGATTCTATGATGGCCATTCAGTATCATTAAATGATACATTAATGTATTTAACAAATATAAAGAAAAGGAGACAATGAAATTTAGATTAAAAATGGATATTTTCAAGAAAAGTTAACCACCCATATTGATTTTATTGACCAGACATACATTTGTTCTAATGAAATTAAAAATGGATGAAACATAAAAAATTGATCTTTTATTCTTTTTAATTTGTTTAATAAAAATATATTACTATATTCATTGTAGAAACTAGTCAATGGTGTTCAAGTTTGTTCAAAATAGAAGACTATATCTTCTGGTATAGTGGAAATGCTTATCATGACAATTTTTCTAAGAGCAAATGAGAACTCTGACAACAGAATTCAAATTCCAGTCAAGTTCTTTCCATTCACTTATGCATAAATATCATTCGGAAAGATATGAATCTATCTTCTTCCCTAGCTATGGGTTAAATAGTAGGACTTGTATCTGGAAAAATCAGTTATTCTCAAAAATTATTAATAAAATAGTCACTCTCAAGAAAAGAATTATTCATACAATACAAAATATGTTTCATTTTTAAATAAGCCATAAAAACAAATTATTCAATCCTTGCTGCAAAACACTTATAAACTTCTTAATGACAGTCATAAATTGATAAAATCAAGAAGTTATTTTAACAATGTCTATATACCAAATCTGTTAAAAAATGTGTCTGCCTTCATAAAAGTCATCTTTCTCATTCTAAAAGTTTTAAAGTTCCCCCATCCATTTTATAAGCTTATTTACTTCTCATTTCTACAATCAAATTTTTATCTATTTCTGAAATATTAAAAACAAATAAATACCAGTTTTCACAAGTAATTCTGGCTTATCTGCATGGTTAGAGAATGGAAATTTTTGTTCAGTTATTTGAATTAATAGAAGGTCCAAAGTTAATATAAGGTTTTTTGTCATAAGAATTTAAATTAAGGTTATTTTAATTGCCAAGCTCCATTTGAAGTTTGGTAAATAGAGTAAACAAATTTTTATATAAATTTTTAATTAAAATTTATAGCAATCTTCAATTCTAAACCATTCTGAAAAATGCTGTAAGGAAATAAATAATATATACTTTATTAACATTTTACCAAAGTTAGTAAAACAGAACAGCAGAGTAGGAAAAATCACAGTTATCTTGCTGTAAAATCTGTTTGGAACAAATTTAAAAATTGCTTGATTTTTAAAAATATTTTTCATTTTTATTAAAATTTGATTACTTTGTTCATTTGTTTAAGAGATAATTACTGCTATCAAAAAGTTTATGTAAGATATGATCATGTTATAAAACAAAAATATCTATTAAAAACAACTACTTTATGAAAAATTCTGTAGATTAATATAATTCAATGTTAGTGAACTGCATCACTGCAAATGACCTGTACAATGATATTCTACACATATTAAACCAAGTCACTCCTACCTTGTCTGAATCATCCTCCTCGGAAACAAATCCTGATCAAAGTTCCATCCAAAAGAAAAAAAAAATGGTGGAAAAGCATGGAAAAGCATGGAAAAGCATGGAAAGTTTAATCTTCCTGTCACATTAAATTATGGTATGTGCTATTTCCTTAACACATTAAGAAAACTCTTTTTAAACTATGATGCAGAGAATCAGATGCAATTGGCTATGGATGTGCAGAAGAACAACAAAACCAACTTTACTAAATAGATAGTAATTGTTTGAGAAGTGATTTTCTGGTATATTGATAAATAAATTAGTCATCTATAATTATTTCTTTTTGGAAAACGAGGCCTTTTTTACATTATAATAAATCTAGTTGTAATTAATAAAATTAGCAGTAACTTTATTGTAAAACTATTTAGCCATTTCTAATGGACTCAGACAAGAAATCTATAAATCAACCATTCGCCCTTGCATGGAATACTGCTGCCATATATGTTCTGGATCCCCCGCTGTTTGTCTCAAGGTTCTCAACAAAATCCAGAGATAGTTATGCAATGTGGTTGGTCTTGGTCTGGCATCTTGCCTACAGTTACTTTCTTACAGATGTATGGTTGCTTCCCTCTGTCTTTTCTACAAGTACTGTCATGGTAACTGCTCAACAAGCTATTTTTGCTGGTTCCCAAACTGCTTGAATTTAAGAATGTTACTAGGTTGACCTCTCAGTCCTACTCTTTCATGTTGAAATGTAGCTGTCACTTCTACTCCAATAGCTTCATGTCTCACACTTCCCATCTGTGGAACTCCCTTCCTCTTACTTGCTTCCCTGACAGTTATAGTCTTCAAATATTCAAATGTAATATCAATCAGCATCTTCTGATGCCTTGATCTAATTCCCCAACCTTCTCTTTATCCTTTCCTTAATCATGTCTCTTTATTCTTGGTCCCACTCTCTGCATGCTAGTGGCACTCCTACCTTGCTTGGGGTGAAATGCCTAAAAAAAGAAAAGTTTCTAATCACAAAACTGTAGTCATTATCAAATGTAACCAAACTATAGTAAGAGAATAACAATAAAACACAAAGCAGTTGATTGAGAGAATGATGGCTGGAGTGACTGATTTAAAAAGAATAATTATTAAAATTGTGTCACCTACTGATATCTCATCTCATCAATGGCTGAGGAGAGATGTCGTGCATGCTCATCACACATGTAGATGTTCTGGTCGTTCTCTGGAATTAGATCCACATCATGGAAAACAAAACAGTCAAACTTATCATAATTTAGGGCCTCTAAATAACCAATATTCATCAGCTTGCCTCGGTTGAAGGTGCTAGTACCAGCCTGAAACAGAACAGAATTGGAAGAGCTGAGAAAAAAGCAAAAATAATACATCTCCAAATTTTGAAAATCATCAACAATAATCAACTATTTCATAAATAGTTTTTATTTAGTGTACAATACACCAAAAAATCAAAATTTATGATATGGAAAATGCAAGTAATACAAAATCATTTATTTTATAGAAAAGGTTACATTTATTGAACTTTAAATGACTATTTGCCTCAGTATACAATGAGGTCCAAATTATTTCAAACCTAATTGGATTCGAGATATGTTCTCCTATTTCTAAACAGGTTACCAATAGCATAAAACAATACTATGACAAATAAATAGCAAAAACATTTTCATATCATATGAAAGGGACTGAAAAGCAACAAAGACACCATAACAATAAGCATCAAATGTATTAATATATATTCCTAAATCATGACTTAATTGAGGAAAAAATGTTATATATATATATAACATTTTTTCCCCAATTAAGTCATGATTTAGGAATATATATTGATAAATGTTGTCAAGTTTTTTGAATTCTCATATACTTGTATTTTGATTGGTCATTCCAGCTTATGTAACACTGTTTCCCCTAGTGAGGGGTGTTTGATTGATTTGAACCTTTTAAAACTCTTTATTCTACATTCATCACCATCACTTAATAAGACACCAGAAGTGTTGAAACAAAATGGCTATTTTTGTAGTGATTTTATAACATATTTATGTTATAATTTTTGAATAAATAATATATATATATATATATATATATATATATATATATATATATATATATATATATAGACAGCTACATTTATATATATATATACATATAGACACATATATATATATACATATAGTCAGCTACATTTAACCATTTCAACAATGAAAGAGTGGGACTGAGATGCCAACCTAGTAACATGCTTAAATATATATATATTGTCAGCTGTCAATATACCACACCCTTGGAGCGGGTAGAATGGAGATCGTGTTTTAGCAGACTCAGCAGTTTTCAGCGAGAGCAAGATCTAAAAGGTCATCCAATCTAACAGTGATCTCATCTCACAATCCTCACAAGAGGATTGTGAGATGAGATATGTGTGGCCTCCTTTCCTCCACTAGTGGGTCTTAAGTGCCAATTAAGATTATCGCAGTTGTCAGATCCTCATATGTCGAAACCGATGGAAGAGTCCATTATATATATATATATATATATATATATATATATATATATATGATGATACTGAACAGACGAACTTAGTAATAATAATTTAGCAATTGTTTTTAACATTGAAAAGAAAAGGATCTTTTAGCAATAAAAAGAATGATAATATCCAAATGCTAATGCAAAAACTATTATACATGATTTAGATGAATTTTAGATGAATTTTAGATGAATTTTAGAAACTTATCTAAAAGCCACAGTGATAAAGAATAGATTAAAAAGATTAAAGTAATGCTAAAACTATTGTTGACAACAACAACAAAGAGCTTGGATTCTGCCTAATCAGCTTGTCATTGTTACATGACTGTTTATCCTTCATAATGCCATCCTCAAAGATTCAAGGACAGTGTTAATATTATCATTTCAGAAAATGGCTATTAGCTTAACCCATAAGTGCTTTGGACAAAAGCATAAGGACACAATAAATATTCCATCCATTAATTACGGATTAATTCTGAAGATATGCATCTAACATGTATATTCCTGTTTGGTGAGTCAATATTTGTTAATGAGTTTTAAATGCTTGCTAGTCTAAAAGTATTCCTTTCTCACCAAAGAAAGGAATAAACAAAAATGGATCACATTCATGATAACTAATGATATCCACATTAATAATAATTGCAACAGCTTTTAGACATTTTTTGTATAATAAAATTAATAATAATTGTCATAGAGCAAATGTCTATTTTCTTCAAGCATATGAAAACATGATGTTATCAAAATTCATATCTACAGCAGGGTTGCTAGACTGGGTTATATTTGAAAACTCAACCCTATTATGTTCAGAATTACCTCCCTTTTTATTAGTAGCTGTGATTATTATAAAAGTAAAAGTAACTCCAAAATTGCTAAGTAGTGAAACTCAAAAAGTAGCTCAGTTTGGTAATTCTGATCTATCTTTAATAGACAGCTACAAATAATTTTAAGAATAAAAATCTAAATTTTCTTCTTGATGTCATAAGATATATAAATAATTTTTACATGATTTAATTCTAAGAAGAAAGACCAGAGGGTATTTTTTCAGAGCTTTTTAAAAGGAAAGAATATTTAAGTCCTTGAAAAGAAAATATGAACACACACTTGATTTTCTTTAATTTTTTAATTAATTTTCCATTATCGAAGCTATTTTTGCTTATAGCCTGTGGCAAATGTGAGTTTGATATTCTCAAGTACAAATCTTTGTAGAGTGCTGAAATTTCAGTAGGCAATTTGAAGTTGCTAATTGAATCACAGGATGATTTCTCTGTCATCAGTGATCTGTCCATTAACGTTATCCTTCTTCTATGTGCTATATCACTTCAGGATGCTGGCAATCATGGCTCTCCACAATTTCCTATCATTTGGGAGAGATGGCAAAAAGACAAAAGTTAAGAGCTACAAAAGCTTTTATGTTTTTTTGCCATCTCTCCCAAATCTTGCTGAAGTTTGCCAAGGAGGCTGTGCATTGCTTTTCTCTGGTTTTCTTACCTTTAATCCTTCCTGTGAGTATCAAATTTTCCAAGCCCTCTTTCCTCATTATATGCTCCAAAATTTCAACTGTCTTTTCCTGATGTTAAGCATAAATGTCCTTTTTGTTGTCATTGTCTCTAGAACCTTGTTGTTGCTCACATGTTTGGTCCATAGAATTCCCAGCATCCTTCTGTGGAAACCCCATTTCTGTTGCTTCCAGTCTCTTCTTCATCTGTTAGGAGATTTTCCAGCTTTCACTATCATATAGAAGAACTGATACTACATAACAGTTCAGTACTCTTTTCTTTGTTTCTAACAATAATTTTTCAGTTTCTTAATGCTTTGCTCAGCTTTTAGAAAACATCTTTTGCTATCTCAACATGCCTTTGGATTTCCATGTCACACTTTCTCTGTTAATACGCTTCCCAGATATCTAACTTGTTGCACCTATTTGATTTTGGTATCAATGCAACTTACACACTTCTCTTGATTTAACCATTTATACGCATAGATAAATATTGATATCTGACAGAACACAAACACAAAATATAAACATTAACAAGCATACTTGATTTTTCACTGTTATAAATGCACACATATAGAATCATAAACACATACATATACAATCATAAACACATACATATACAATCATAAACACATACATATAAAAATACAACAAAAGAGATTCTGAATATTATTTGACTTTTTCATAATGACTTAAAAGTTGATAAATAAACAAAAAAATGGAATTAAAATTTTAATTGAAGTTATATTAACAGAATAAAATTCTGTTTTAGAGTAATTCATGAAACATTGAAATATCAGTTATTATGCTCTCTGGAATCACATTAATTACTATGAAGTAAATCTTAATACACAGCTTAATACTGATGTAGAAAATCACACTATCACTCATATAAAACTGTACTATATATATATATATATATATATATATATATATATATATATATATATATATACTAGCAGCATAGCCCGGTGTTGCCCGTGCTTGATTCAAAAATCATACAACTCATACAGCAATCGCTATCACTTGACTTAAAATATTTTTGCCCTTCCTTTCCTTTAAAGGAGTGCCCTTTGCCATGCTGATATTGTTACATGCCTTAATTCTTGCCTATCTCACACTGCAAATTTTTTCTAAGCTCTATACTAAACATTAAATCTGTTACGAAAAAAGAACTAAACAAAATGAACACAAAACGATCAGCTTTAAAAAAGGATTCGTAACTGGAAAAACCGAATGAAAAAAGAATGTTAACAACAAATACTTTTTCACACCCAACCCAGTTCTGTGGAATCAGAATCAACATTGAGTTTAAGCAAGCGAATGAGCCAATTGGAGTAAAGTGCCATGCAGATTTAAATTTTTCCCACTTGTGACAAATGCAGCTATCAATTTTTTTTGCATGCTAGCATGTTAGTTAACATTTGTGTCAGTTAACTGTTGGCTCTCACGCTGGCCAATAGAATCTTCCTGCATATTCGTGGCAGCCAGCTATTGGCTCTCACTCTGGCCAGTACAAAATGGCTGCAAACTACATGAAAACTGCCATAGAAGCATGAAAAAATCGATTATTTCCACTATCGATGGGAGTTGGGAAATGTAAAGTCAGTCTTGGCCTTCCTGCTAACTTGGAGCATGTGCATGTAAATTTTGGTGCAAATCTGTCGAAAATTGCGGTCGTGCATTTGTTACAGACACACACATCCTGCCTTTTATAGATAAATATATGTTGATTCCAATCCAATTGGGAATGACTGCAAAACACTTTACCCCTTCCTTATTTATAGGTAGAAGCACACAAATGCATGCTGGGATTTTTTCCTAGCCAATAATACAGGCCAGTTCTCATTTCAACAGATTCACTTTGAGTCTGTCTTGTATTGAAATCAGAATGTATTATTTATCTGAATTTGAAATCAGAATGTCGCATTTTTCTGAATTTGTTCTTATGTGTCAACCCCCAATTCTTAGCTTGTGAACTTTTTGCCTTATTACTGTTGCTTTGCCTTATTGCTGTTGCTTTGCCTTATTACTGTTGCTTTGCCTTGCATATATTTTTTGCTTGTTTTATCTTTTGCCTTGTTCTTTTCTTTTTCTTGTTATCGTAATTGTTTATTGCAAATTTTGTCAATTTTGTTTGTTGGGTAGTTCTGCCATTTATTTATACTTAACCATGGCTACTACTCTACAATGTGTGTGTGTGTGTGTGTATATATATATATATATATATATATATATATATATATATATATAGATAGATAGATAGAGAGAGAGAGAGAAAAGCCAATTTTGATTATAATGTGGATTTTTTATATACTTTATCATATATATTTTGCTACACACGTTTTGAGTCTTATGACA